ATGAATGCCTTTCTCCAGCACATCATCCCCGTGCTCTCAACCTCTCTCTCTGTGAAGATGAGCGCATAAATGCATGCACATTGCACACGGATCCCATTCATTCCCCAGAGGCTGGGGTGGCTTTCTGCCAGGTTCCAGAAATCAAAGTGCCTTTCAGATTGCTGCCCTCCTCCTTCCTCGTAGAACACTTTGGGGAAGAATAACTTTCCCGTTTAGAACTGGACCGCTGAGGCCCAAAACAAGTAAAGGAAATTTCCCAAGAACTCACGTCAGTCAACCATGGAGTTAAGATGTGTCTCCAGAGCTAGTGTGCTCTTCTCCACACCTGGCCCCAGCCCGTGTTGTTGGAGGGGACTTTCTCCTCTGGTTAAACAATTATGGTTTGCTATTAAGTCCAGGCTTGCTACACCAGACACTCATTAAAATGTCTCAGCCTTCCCTGGTGAGTCACGTGTGCTGAGTCTCCCCCTTCACTAGCCTCTAAGATGCTTGAGGGTAGAGGATTTGCTTATTTTATTATAGTTGTGTCTTTATGCCTGGCTCTTAGGACACATGGTACACGCTCACTCAGTTCAAGGAGGTTGAACACATGAATGAATGTAAGGAAACTTTATGTCCTGTGGTGAATCAAACCCAAATGCAGTTGAGAGGGGGGAAAATGGAAAACGTTAGAAACATTCCCTTCAGACCAAGGTGTGCACGTGCACACACACACACACACAGACATACACACACGCAGCCTCCCTTCAATACACACTGTACAAACACCCTCATTACTGGACACACACATGTGCATATTCAGCTGTGACTGTTTTACTCTTTTCCAGTTTGTGAAGAAGTATGGGAATGTCCTTAGGCTGGAATTTGGTGACTTGTCTTCGGTTGTTATAACTGGATTGCCCTTAATCAAAGAAGCCCTTGTCCACCAGGGCGAAAACTTTGTGAACCGCCCCAAAGCCCCTTTCACAGAACGTCTCTTTATGAACAAAGGTAAGTGCCTGGACTAATGTGATGTATATGTTGGATACTCCTGTCGTCTGTGACAGATGCCTTGGTGACTTAATGCTCCAACACTCCCAGGGTCCAGGCCCATCATAAAGTTCCTGCCCCTGAAGGAAGCTGAGTGCCTGCATTCCCCACTGAAGGCCAGTCCTCAGGGACCCTGGCCGGGTCAACCCCAATGTCAGGGATTTGGGAGAAGCTGTGTCACCTGCATGAAGTCACTCTGGGAGCTTTGATAAATCAGTGTCCTCCTCACTCAATGATGTGATATGTTTTATAAGGAGAGAAAACCATGCATTCTTGGTGGCTGTTTCTGCTTTCCCATTGACATCTCTTCCCCTAGGAAATGGATGTGGATCATTTACTTTCTGCTGAGTATGTGATCCCTCAGTGCCTCTAGTTTCTTTTTCTTTAATATTGAGGTTGTGCCCCACAACATATCTCTAGCCTTTGGGTCTATATTAGAACAGTTTGGCATGAATACTTAAAATGTTCATGAAATAAACTTATACATTGAAAATTCTAAATGAAAAATTCAAATAATTTATTCTAACAAAGCACCCATTTTTTAGGTTCTTCTCAATTATTCTTTGAAATATTGCACCCATTACCTCTGCATCCATTCACTCTTATTTGTAATCTGCCCTGTGACACCTGGTGGCAGACA